ACATAACGGCAGCCGCGCCTTGTCGTTGGCAACCAGAAGTATGACAAGCAGGTGAAGCGAGACTGGCAGCTTGGATCCTCCGAGTTGGCGGCCACCAAGAGTCTCACAGAAGTCGCCGACTTTTTCGGAGTTGCCGGAGATGTCCAAGATACGACACACATGCCCTTCATGACATGTACATCAAACAAACGTGAACGCCTCCAACATACAGCTTTTCCACCGTCCGAGTTGCCTGCAACCGCGAATGATACCGAAGTCGCCGGAGGTGTCGTTCGCGGACGAAAATGCGAACGCCTCCCACGCGCCAGCGCGATTGTTGGCCAGGTGTGGGCGAGCCCCGCCAACCCTACCCCGTGCTTTAAAACATATTTTTTAGAGGAAACCCACGAAATCCATACGCCATCGAGCCATCCATCATCCATCCAGCATCCATCACGACATCCATCTAACGAGGACTCTTCCCGAACCTCCGCTGAAAAACCCTCCGATATGCTGTCGGGAGAAAGCCGATCGTGTGTTAATAGGCCCTCAACCGCATACTTCCTACACCCCTAAACTCTAAACCCTCAACCCTACACCCTAAACCGTAAACCCTAAACTGAAGGAACCCTTGAATAGGCCGTATCTGGGTACGAGATACATCCTGACCTGCCAGGTGGCCGAATTCTGTCCTCCGGCGTGCGCTTAGGCCGGAAGGGCTTCGGGTTGAGGACGTAGGGTCTAGGGCCTAGGGTGAGGGTTTGGATATGAAAGAGTCTGCCTAACTTCAGATGCTTGGATGTCCTTGAGCTTCGCGTTGTTAGCTTGTGAGTAGGTTTGGCTCGAAGCGTAATTTTAACGCCACGCGACCTGCCTCGGCTTGAGCTTCTGTAACAAGGGCAACCCAAACTGGAAGGAAAGGCCCTGTAGGGCAAAGGTGACAGGTGCTTTTACTAGGGGGGGGGTGGGAGATTGGGGGGGAGGGGGGAGGGGGATGGGGGGGGGGGTGGGGTGTGGAGGGGATTGAGGTGGGGTGCTTGCTTTGTGCTACCCAGACACCTACGGCCCAAGGCCTCGGCGGATTAGGCTTCTGGGGCTTCGAACCCAGCCCTAAGCTGAAACTCAATGACCGACACGAGGCTCCTTCGTCTTCCCAGCGACTATGCCGCGTTCTCAGACGCTTCGGGGGTTTCGGGGTGTAGGGGTTGGGGTGTACGGGTTTAGGGGTTCTCCTCTCCTCCCTAGGACCCAGAGTGGGCCCTAATTCCCTTCAAAAAGGGTGCCCTTTTTATTCATAGGCTACTCTTGGGTCTAGCTCCTCATGCTCATTCTATGCCTTTCCATCCTCGTTCTCATTCTCATCATGATCAGGAGTACCATTATTATCATTAGTTGTCGGTATTCTACCAAGTCAAATATTGGAACTCTTATTTTTTCATGGTTAGCACCATTTAAAAAGATGTTATTGTCATCATCATCATCATCATCATCATCATCATCATCATCATCATCATCATCATCATGATCCGGGTCCTCATCGTCCTCAGCATCATCATCGCCATCGCCATCATCATGCTACTGCCGCTGATGAAGATCACAACTGTGATGTTTATTTGTTCCGTATCAGGGCCAGTACCGCTGGCGCAATCATGATCTTTTCTCAGTATGCAAAGTTGTATTTTATTGGTCTCCTTTCCGATGCCTCGCGGCCTCAGCACTGATCTCGCGAAAGTTAGAGCCCCCTCAGCCCTCAGCCCTGAACCCTAGACCCTAAGCCCTAAACCTAAAACCCTAAACCCTAAACCCTAAACCCTAAACCCTAAACCCTAAACCCTAAACCCTGAACCACAAGCCGCCCGAAGAGGTGCTGTCGCTGGAGACGCACGAACTCGCCTCGGCCTCAAAGATCTAGTTCCCCATGGGCCCGAAACCCTAAGCCCTAAACCCCAAACCTTAAACCCCAAACAAAGCCTACTCCCCACCCCCTAAACCCCAAACCCCAAACGCTAAATCCTGGAACCCAGAGCCCTGAGGCCCCCCTCCTGGCAGGCAAAGCTGCCTCTGCAAGGGTATGTGAGGATGTGTAGGCCCCTTAAGAGTTGCAACTGGGCTTTGGAGTATTATACTTCAATACTTTTTTTGGTTCTGGGCTCCTAGTATAGCTTTTTATACCCAAAAAGTATATACGGGGAGAAAGCCCTAAAGCCCGCCTAAACCCTCAACCCTACACCCAAAGCGCTCGACCCTAAACCCTTTGCCCTATATAAACTGAAACAGAAATCCTCCACACTTCTTGGGCTTAGGATTTAGGGTTTAGGGTTTAGGGTTTAGGGCTCACCTCTTCAACTCGGAAGCCGACACTGTGAATCCCAGGCCCCGCTACTGGCTGAGTACCTCGGCGTGCCCAAGGATGCGCCCGAGGCGCCCCACCTTTCCGGAAGCGGCAACTTGAGGGTTTAGGGTTTAGGGTTTAGGGTTATTTGGGTTTAGGGTAATTTGGGTTTCGGGTTTAGGGTTCAGGGTTCAGGGTTTAGGGTTTAGGGTTATTAGTGTTTAGGGTTTAGGAACTTTGCTTATAGAGTAACAAACTCCCCACAAGGGTGCCCTCGCTGCAATATGGTTACTGGGCTATCAAGGGTTCAGGGGGGTTTAGGGTTCAGGGTTTAGGGTGTTTGGTTGCACGTAAATTGTTTGTCAGCAGACTCGGGGGAAGGTTGGACTTTAGGGTTTAGGGTTAGGGTATGGATCCATAACGCTTCAGGGATCCTTGAACACCCGAAACCACTGAGAAAGTTCAGGGATAAGGCTTAGGGTTTCGGTCCCTCGCACCCTAAGCCCTAAACCCTTGCAATCAAGGGAGTTTCGGGTACCAAAACCAGCTCTAAATTCAGATCCTCGCCCGTAGAAAAAGGAAGTCCTTGAGATTCAAAAGGGCAACTCAATCCCACCCTCAGCCCTACAAACCCCAAACCCCCTACGTAGCCCTAAACCCTAAACCCCCTAGCCTTACACCCTTAACCCTAGCCCCAAACCCTAAACCCTAAACCCTAAACCCTAAACCCCAAACCCCAAACCCCAAACCCCAAACCCCAAACCCCAAACCCCAAACCCCAAACCCCAAACCCCAAACCCTAAACCCTAAACCCTAAACCCTAAACCCTAAACCCTAAACTCTCTGTATAGGGTTTAGGGAGTTCAGGGTCTCGGGTGCGTTGTCTTTGTAGGGCTGAGGGTTTCGGCCTTAGAGCGTTCCGGGCTTCGACTTCCTGAAGGTAAACTTCAGTAGGGCCTGGGGGGGTTCAGGGTTTAGGGTTTAGGGTTTAGGGTTTAGGGTTAGGGTTTAGGGTTTAGGGTTTAGGGTTTAGGGTTTAGGGTTTAGGGTTTAGGGTTTAGGGTTTAGGGTTTAGGGTTTAGGGTTTAGGGTTCAGGGTTCAGGGTTCAGGGTTTAAACCCGAAGTCTGCGCCTAGACCTGTAAACCCGCAAGCCCGAAGCCCGAAGCCCTAAACCCGTCCCAAGGCCCTATTGCCCTAAACCCTAAACCCTAAACCCCTCTTTCTCATTATAATTCAAACCAATGACCCCCGTGGGCCACAAAAATTTGCCCGCGAACCCAGGCAAATGCCCACGAACTACGCAAATTTGCCTCCTTCTTGGGCATTTTGGCATGGTTCGTGGGCATTTTTGCCTGGTTCGTGGCATTTTTGCCTGCTTCGGGGGCATTTTGCCTGGTTCGTGGGCATTTTTGTCTGGTTCGTGGTGCCTGTTTCGTGGGCATTTCCCCCGGCATTCAGGCCCTAAGCCCCGGCCTTGAGGCCCTGAAACCCTAAACCCGAGTCCTTGAAACCCTAAACCCCGGCCTTGAGTCCTTGAAACCCTAAACCCCGCCTTGAGGCCCTGAAACCCTACACCCTGGCCAGGGGGGGTTTAGGGTTTCAGGGCCTCAAGGCCGGGGTTAGGGTTTCAAGGACTCAAGGCCGGGGTTTAAGGTTTCAAAACCTAAAGGCCTGAAGTTCAGGGTTTCAAGGCTTCAAGGCCTGAAGTTTAGGGTTTCAAGGCCTCAAGGCCGGCAGGGTTTAGGGTTTCAGGGCCTCAAGGTCGGGGTTTAGGGTTTCAAGGCCATGTGTTGAATGAACTTTACATTTTCTCAATGTCATGGGTTTCTTGGGTGGGTTGGTATTTTCTAACGCTTCAAGCTGCTTGACTAGTGAACGCTCGGACTTGAGATGCTGAACCCGAAACCCTAAACCCTAAACCCTAAACCCTAAACCCTAAACCCCAAGCCCAAAGCCCTAAGCCCTAAACCCTGTGCTTGGAGGAGTCGGATGGCGACTTGCCCTGGGGGGCTGCACAGATTGGCGAGTCGCCGGGTGCCCCAAGAGGCGCAGGTAGAACCTCCCAGCACGAAGCGTTTAGGATTTAGGGTTTGGGGTTTAGGGTTTAGGGTTTGCCCCTGAGCCCCTGAGCCCCTGAGCCCTAAGCCTTAGGTTAAGCCCTAAACCCTAAACCCAACCCCAGAGGGTTTCAGGCTTTGGGGGTAGCTTTGGGGCCTTCATCATCGCAGCTTCGTTTGGGGCCTCAGGTTCCCTCTAGGCTTTTTTGTTGATCTCATTTTTTGGGATTTCGGGGGAGCAGTGCAGTGGGGGGATCCAGATACCTACGCAAGACCCCGAACCCTAAGCCCGAAACCCTTGCCCCCCCCCCCCCCAATCTTCGAAATTCAGCGACTTCCCTGACGCTGTTTGTGGCCCACCAGACCGCATCCATGTTGCACGTCTTCGACCATCCGCAGTGCCAAACTTCTTAGAGTGTAGAGCTTAGGGTTGAGTGTTTAGGCTTTGTAGGGTTCAGGGCTTCAGGCAAAGGGTTAACGGCTTTGAGGGTATAGGGTTTAGGGTTCAGGGTTTTGGCCCCGACCAGGGGCCAACCCAAGCAGTCCCGAGAGCGCTTTGAGGCGTGTCAGAGACAAGGCCCGGAGGAAGACTCTCCCCTGTAGCCCCTGAAAAAGTTCTCCATCACAGCCATGCCTCGTCCGGCCAGACCTCTTAAAGAGGAGGCGCGGGGCTACAGGGTTTAGGGTTTCGGCTGGGGGGGGGGGGGGGGGAGGAGGGCCGACAGGACTGATAGCGGAAGCCCCGGATCGTTGGGTCCTTGGAATAGGTTGGCTCGTTGTTGCGGACTGCCCCCCTAAACCCTAAACCCGAAACCTAAACCCTAAACCCGAAACCCTACACCCAAGGCCTAGGCCAACCCCCTACAGTTGGGGGGCCGCGCCTAAGCCCCTCGACCTCGATGGCACAAGCCGACCCAGGTCGTTCGCTCGCCTCCTATAGCTCGGAGGTCGGTAGCACCCACGATGGGCCTGGTACCGGAGCACGTTCTTCCAAAGTCATGACCCGAAACCCCAGCATCCAGGGATTAGGGCTTAGGATTTAGGGTTGTAGAGTTTTGGGGGTTAGGATTTAGGGTTTTGGGTTTACGGTTCTAGGGTTTTGGGACTGGGTTAGGGTTTGGGGTTTGGGGTTTAGGGTTTTCCCTGCCCCCGGGCGTGAAGGCCCTTTCCATGACGGTCAAATTCCTTCAGGGTGGGCACATGTGCGCCCTGAACAGAGGGCGATGGCAAAGGAGTGCAAGGACAAGAGCTGGCGCACAGCATCCTTGCCCATGCCATCCGTTTCAGGGATCGTGTAGGAATTTCGTCCGAACAGCAAGCTTTCCAACTTGGGGGCACCTTGCTTTCGGACGCCGCGCTTTGTCTTAAAGTTGTTTGGAAGCCTGCGCTTGGCATGATCCGGCGACAAAGGGTGGGTCGCGAAGCTGGAAGGTGCCCACAAGCTCTTTCACTTTCACACGAAGCTTGCTTGGAAACGATTCCACCCACGAGTCGTCCGCCTGGGGCTGCCTGCGCGACAGCAACGGATGAATCATTCCCCGGCTGTGTCCCTGCCGTGCCCACAACTTGCGTGCACGAATCAGGCGGGTGTTGCAAGTATCTGGAGACGAAGCATCCTGCAAGTATGCATCAAACTCGGCAAGTCAAGCGCCACCAACCCGAGCTCCTCGGTAGTGAACTCAAGGAACTGAACATGCATGTCAGCGGATCCCCGCTGCACACAAGCGCCGCTGCATCTCTGAACCCTGGGGACTTAGGAATTAGGGTGAGGGTTTGGGGTTTAGCGGCTAGCGGCCAGGTGGCTCGGTTGTCAGGCTGGGTTCCAAACTCTCAGAAGCTTCATGCCACAAGCAAGCAGGGTACAACCTTCAACCCCCGAACCCCGACACCCTAAGACCCCAAAAGCCTGAACCCGAAAAGCCCTAAAGCCCTAAACCCTATATCCTAAACCCTTCACCCGCAACCCTAACCCTAAACCCTAAACCCTAAACCCTAAACCCTAAACCCTAAACCCTAAACCCTAAACCCTAAACCCTAAACCCTAAACCCTAAACCCTAAACCCTAAACCCTAAACCCTAAACCCTAAACCCTAAACCCTAAACCCTAAACCCATAAACCCTAAACCCTAAACCCTAAACCCTAAACCCTAAACCCTAAACCCTAAACCCTAAACCCTAAACCCTAAACCCTAAACCCTAAACCCTAAACCCTAAACCCCAACAACCCTAGAGACTAAAACCACAAGCCCCGCCCACAGGAGCCACTCGGGGCGGTCTCCCCAAGCACCGAGGATGAAGTGTGTGGAGAGGCGAGGTTCTAGGGTTCAAGGGGTCAAACCCCAAACCTTAAACCCTGAACCCCCTAAACCCTCAAGCCCAAACCATTTCCACTCGAAAAGTGAGTAGTCGGGTTCCGCCTTGCGGGTGTTGCTTTGCCCTTTGCTGGGTCATATGTGATGTTTCAGAGGTTTGGGTTTAGGGTCTAGTCCAGGGTTCCGGGTTCAGGGTTTAGGGTTTCGGATGTAGGGTTAGGGGCCGTCATGGGGTATTTGTATAGGGACCACAAGAGAATACTGAATACTGTTGGCAATTATTCCGACCCGTATTGGCGGAAGCCTGAAATCTGAGCCCGAAGCCCCAACTCCTAAGCGAACATAGGGGTCGGAATAATTCTAACAGTACTCCCGTAGGACCCCTTTATAAATATGCTAGAACCCCCCCCCCCCCCCCTTATTCAGGCCCCTATGTTCCCAAAGTAATCAGGGTTCAGGGTTCTGGGTTTAGGGTTTTAGGGTTCGGGTTTGGGGTTAAGCGGGCGATGGCGTTGCCGACCGCGGGCTGCAGGGCCTCTTAAACTTTCAGTTTTGGGGCCCCCAACTGAACTACCCTGAGCCCGAAAGCCTAAAGCCCAAAGCCTAAAGCCCAAAGCCTAAAGCCTAAACCCTAAACCCTAAACCCTAAACCCTAAACCCTAAACCCTAAACCCTAAAGGCCAGCCACCCCCGACGCAAGATAAGGCCTGACCAAGCCTCAGAAACGACCTCTTTGGGTTTAGGGTTCAGGGTTCAGGGTTTAGGTGTTTAGGTTTTTAGGGTTTGGGGTTTAGGGTTTAGGGCTAGGGAGCCAGTCAGGATGGGGGCAGTATAGGACTCCCCAGCCCATCGATTGTAAGGGGAATTTTGCGTTGCCTTAACCGGGCCCCTTATGTTCTCTAAATCGTTCTGAAGTATGGGCCCGCTGGGCTTTCTCCAGTCAGGGTTCATGTTTAGGAATCATGTAAGTACCCCAAACCCAAAACCCAAAACCCTGAACCCTGAACCCTGAACCTAAACCCTAAACCCTAGACCCTAGACCCTACACCCTAAGCCAAACTCCGAAGCTTGAAGCCGCAGGACGCTTTGGGACTTCCATCCCTGCTCGCGCGGAACCATCGCACGCTGATGCACCGCCTGGACGTCCAGGTGGGATTTCCGAAGCCCTGAAGTCCCCAGACCCCAGACCCCAAACCCTAAACCCTAAACCCCAAACCCCAAACCCCAAACCCCTAACCCCAAACCCCAAACCCCAAACCCCAAATGAAGGAACCCGAAACCCGAAACCCTAAACCCCAAACCCGAAACCCTAAACCCTATACACCCTAAACCCTAAACCCTACACCCCAAACCCTAAGCCTTAAACCCTAAACCCTGAACCCACTGCCACTTTCCAGAATGCTTGTGACATGCATACACCAGGCACCCAGAATGCACTGCTTTGCACGATGTTTAGCAGCAATCTGGGGAGCGTGGGGTTTAGGGTTTAGGGTTTAGGGTTTAGGGTTTAGGGTCAGGGCAGGAAAATCTCCTGATCTCAAACCGGGCGGCACACTGAAGAAACGATCGCAGAAGGGGAACAGACCAGGAGGACACGCTGTTGCTAAACGCGTCAACAGCGCCAGGGCAAAACGCAGTGGCTCCATTCCAAGTTGGGGCAGCAGGGCCCTTTTGCCGACATAATCGCAAAGCACATACTACGGGGGTCGGAATAATTACCAATAGCATTCTTATGGTCCCTGTATAATTATACTAGAAAAGCTCCGCGACGACTGAACAGCGGGGTAGTTGCACGTGAGGAGGGGGAACACACGAACTCACCTAGAGCGGCTACGATGAGGAAGAAGGGGAATGAGCAAAAGCCGTGTCACCGCTGGAGGACAAGGTCGTCCCGCTTTGGAGTGAGTCCAACTTTAACAACACTGGTGGGCTTCATTGTTCGGCGGTGTGAGTCTTTCAGTGGAACTTGAGCCAAATCACCAGAAACTCAACCCCGTCTTCAAAGTCTAAAGCATCCCCACACCTAGACCCTAAGCCGCTAAGCCCTACAACACCAAACCCTAAACCCCAAACCTTAAAACCTCCGACCCTACTCAATGACGACTCCATGTCCTCCGCCCCAAGCCTGCGATCCACCCAAAGCGGCGGGTGAAATCAGGAGGCGCTGTTGCGCCAAGTGCTCGAGCATGGCCACGCCGTCCCCGGCGCCGACGTCCCCAGCACCGCTGTCCCTGTCGCGCGCCAACCTCTCTTGAGGCCTGTTTTCAGGGGCGTTTCTCTGAGCGGTCTTTTGGGGCTTGAGAGGCTGTTGAGGGGCTTGACGTTGGGGATTTTCGCGTGGGATGTTCAAAGAACTCGAGGCGGAGAGAGGGAGAGAGACGGAGAGAGAGAGAGAGAGAGAGAGACAGAGAGAGAGACAGAGAGAGATAGAGAGAGAGAGCGAGAGAGAGTGTTTAGTCTAGTGAGTCTAGCGTGAGCAGTGTGTGCAGGACTTGCGATCCCAATCAAGTTAAACTAATTTCCAGTCATTTACCACCCCAATCAAGACATGTTCCCTCACTCAAGACACGTGATGATCCCCTAAGCCCTAAACCCTAACCCTGAACCCTGAACCCTGAACCCTGAACCCTAAACCCTAAACCCTAAACCCTAAACCCTAAACCCTAAACCCTAAACCCTAAACCCTAAACCCTAAACCCTAAACCCTCAACCCTCAACCCTCAACCCTCAACCCTCAACCCTAACCCTGAACCCTGAACCCTGAACCCTGAACCCTGAACCCTAAACCCTAAACCCTAAACCCTAAACCCTAAACCACAAACCCCCTTCATTCAGAAGAGTCACCCAAAGCCACCCTCCCATTCGACGAGTAGTGCAGCGGAGTGGAAGGAAGGCGGGTAGGGCCCAGGAAGCCTCCAGGTTAGGGTTTAGGGTTTAGGGTTTAGGGTTTAGGGTGTAGGGTGTAGGGTTTAGGGTTTAGGGTTTACGGTTTAGGGTTTAGGGTTTAGGCGGTTTAGGGTTCGGGGTTTGGGGTTTAGGGTGTAGGGTTTAGAGTTTGGGGTTACCTTGCGGGTTCAGTTCTAGCGTCGGCCCTGTCGGTGTTTTGTTGCTGTTTTTTGAAAATGGTGCCAGAAGTGTAAACGTAGATATGGAGTGGCCATACTGAGTAGAAAGAGTAGGCATCAGAGTACGGTGGAGGCCATATTGCAGAATACCAAGCAAGCAGCAAGGCCAGAATGTTCAACGATTCACGCAAGCAGTAGTTCTTTACTCAACGGTGAACGCAATAAACCCCAAGCGCCAAAACCCTGAAGCCTACATCCTAAATCAACTCCAAGCCCAGCCCTAAGCCCTACACCCTACACCCTACACCCTACACCCTAAACCCTAAACCCTAAACCCTAAACCCTAAACCCTAAACCCTAAACCCTAATCCCTAATCCCTAAACCCTACCTAAACCCTAAACCCTAAACCCTAAGCCCTAAACCGCCCTAAACCCTAAACCCTAGGCCCTAAACCCTAAACCCTCAAGAAGAGGCACACGGACCACGCCCATGAGCTGGAGATCCGCCGCCGCGGTCCATCCATAAGGAGCGAAGGCGAGGAGGAATCAGTGTCCAAGACGCCGAGCAAATCCTAATAACTACCAATTGCTTAGGGTTTAAGGTTTAGGGTTTAGGGTTTAGGGTTTAGGGTTTAGGGCTTAGGGTTTAGGGTTTAGGGTTCCCCCTCTCCCCCCCAAAATGGACATATGCTTCCTTAGAAGGGGGGGCTCTTAAGCAAGTAGTAGAGAAGCCCAATTTGCGGTGCCTTCTCTCCCCTTCCCCCCCCCGTCCGCCCTCCTCCTTAGGGGGTTGGTATAGGGGTTAAGGGTTTAGGGTTTAGGGTTTAGGGTCCTCCTACCCTGTCCCCTAACCCCGTGTCAAGCCAAGGAAGATTTCGACCAAGAATTCCTCGATTGTCTTGACCAGCTACACCGCAGAGGCTGAGTAGCGGACGAAGACAGCTTAAAGACCTAAACCAAAAACCCTGAACCCTAAACCCTAAACCCTAAACCGCTCTCAAGCCCCTCGGCCCGAAACCCTAAAGCCCCCAAAATCCCTAAGCAATATTGGTCCACCCCCCAGCAAAATAATCCGCACAAGATCATCCCTGGCAAGGGCCAACGCATGTCCCAACCCTAAACCCTAAACCCTAAACCCTAAACCCTAAACCCTAAACCCTAAACCCCAAACCCTAAACCCTAAAGTCCGGCTGAGGGCTCGCTACCACCACGTGAGAGCCCGAAGCCGTCCGAGCGCTCAGCGAGCGACCTGACCACACGCCACGTGCAGCCCAGGTAAAGCTGTGGCTGCTGAACGCCTTGGCAAGATGAGCACACAGCCGTGTGCGCCAGGTGGTCGAGCCTTTGAGTGTCAAAGGTTCAAACCCTAAACCCAAGCACTCCGCGCCGGCGCCACCAACACCCCCCCCCCCCCCCCCCCCCCCCCCCCCCCCCCCCCCCCCCCCCCCCCCCCCCCCCCCCCCCCCCCCCCCCCCCTTCCCGGCCGCCCCGGGCCCTCCCCCTGCAGGGTAAAAATCTGAAAACAAGATGAGCCTTACTAACTTTTTGCAACTAAATCAACCAAACTAGTCTGGCTTGAAAAACAAACATGTCACATCTCCAAAAACAGCATGCAAAAAACACCACGGCCAACATGAAAAAACAAGATTTTTTTGCCGCAAAACCAGTCTGAAACTTGGTCATTTTCAAATTCATGCGTGCCATCTTGTCAGTCAGAATGGAAGTTAACAATATTTTTCAAACAAGAAAGAAAAAATGACATGTTCGGGTCTTTTACAAAACAAAAATGGGCTGCAGCGACAGCTCGATATAAAAGGATTGTCGGCTCGCATGAGCAAGGTGTTGGCTTGCTGCACATGGCACCTGCTGCCTTTCGCTCGTCCTGGACCAGCTCATAATTAGAGCACATGTCATGAGGTTTTCGTGGCTCCTCTCCCATCTGTATGAGGGAGTGGTTGCAAAGAGGCGCTCCGCTGGCTCTCAGCCAGCCCACGCACTTCTGCATGGACATCCCGGCGCAACAGCGCGCGGGGTTTTGATGCTGCCAGATGCTCCGCGCCCCGGCCCCGTCACACAAAGGGGTTGTGAGCAGGTCCCACCGAGACGAACTTAAAGACTTTGCCGGCGCCCGCCCGAAAAACCGACTTAACTCCCGGAGGTGGAGCTGGGGAGGCCAGGTTTGGCAGCCCCGTTCTCCGGCTGCGGGTAAGCCCTGAGCGGGAGCCGGCTCTCACCCGGCCGTTACTGGAGGTCACGCGGGGCGGCCAGCCCCCCGTCCGCTGCTGTCAACTGAACGAGGGACGCTTTAAGACAGCTGCACGGCTGCAGTGGAACAGGCCCACTGCGGATACGAGCACCAACCAGACGTCTGGGGCCGAAACCCTACAATGCTATACTCCGGGTGGTTTGGGGTGGGTGTACCGCCACGCGATGCGCGCGCGTAGGAGTGGGCCCGTGAAAGCCACTCTATAGGACCCACGACGCGCGCTAAGAACGTTGCCACACCCTAAACCCTAAGCCCTAAGCCCTAAACCTAAACCCTAAACCCTAAACCCTAAACCCTAAACCCTAAACCCTAAACCCTAAGCCCTAAGCCCTAAACCCTAAAACCTAAGCCCTAAGCCCTAAACCCTAAACCCTAAACCCTTACACCGAAGCATCTCCGTCAAGCGGATTTAGGGTTTAGGGTTTAGGGCCTAGGGCCTTCTGGCTTGCCAAGCAGCCATGAGTGTCCTGAACCCCGGAACTAGGATGCCCAGTAGTACCCCTATTCCCTTTTTGGGGGCTTTAGGTTCCCTTATCAACCCCTTTACGCAAAAAAGGGCACCCTTTTGAAGCCTTGGTTCCTGGGCAGCCTGGTGAAAGGATCTGGACCGGAAAGAAAGCGCGGCGATGCTCCACGCCCAGCATGCCATGCGCAAGTTCGCCTCGAAGGCAGGGTTGAGGGTTTGGGGTTTGGGGTTTAGGGTTTGGGGTTTAGGGTTTAGGGTTTGGGGTTTAGGGTTTGGGGTTTGGGGTTGGGGTTTAGGGTTTCGGGTTTCGTTTTGGGTTTCGGGTTTAGGGCTTAGGGCCTAGGGTTTAGGGTTTAGGGTTTCGGGTTTAGGGTTTAGGGTTTAGGGGCTGTAAATTTGACCCCAACAAAGAGGAGGGCTTTCGGGGATGAAGGTTGGGATTACGGCTTTGTGGTGTTGCGGTGTAGGCTTTGTGGGTTTGGGTTTAGGGTTTAGGGTTTAAAATATTTTCCCGTATTGGGCTTTAGAGGATTACATTCAGGAATGTTTTGCAGAGGGCTTCAGGGGCCATCCTAGTTGATGTAGGGTTGCGGGTTGTTTTGGCCTTCTTGGGGTTTCCCAGTCTTCACTCTTCCCCCACCCTTCAAATAGCTGCATTGAGTATGGAGTATTGCCATACTCTGAACCTTAATCCTAAACCCCTAAACCCTAAACCCCAAACCCTACACCCGAAACCCCAAACCCTAAACCCTAGACCCTGAACCCTCCCCGAACCCTGATCAGCTAGAATGTTTCCCTTTGGAGAACTGCGCAGTTGATCTTCAGTAGCCCTAAACCCCAAACCCGAAGCCAGAAGCATTTGCTGGGTTCAGCGTTTAGGGTTTAGGGTTTTAGGGGGCATGGGGCTTTCGGGGGTTTAGGAGGTAAGCCTTAAACCCTAAACCCTAGACCCTAGACCCTAAACCCTACGTAGACCCAAAACCCAAAACTCTAAACCCAAAACCCTAGACCCTAAACCCAAAACCCTAAATCCTAAACCGCGGGTTCAGGGTTTTGGTTTCAGGGTGTGGGGTGAAGGGGGTTGGGGTTTCAGGTTGCAGGGCTCAAGTGCGTCTTCCGCTTTGACGCCTGCACACCAAACCCGAAACCGAAGGCTTAGGGGCACAGGCAGGGATAGCCGCAAACCCTGAACCCTGAACCCTGAACCTTAAACCCTAAACCCTAAACCCCAAAGCCCAAACCCTAAAGGGTTCCATCCTTTTGGCCGCCCCGTTGCCTGGCAGGTCTCGCGAGGTGTCCATCATGTGCAGAAGCACACAGAATCCTTGCAACAGCGGTTTCGGGTTTACGGTTTAGGGTTTCGGGTTAGGGTTTGGGGCTAGGCGGCTTCTACTTCTTGCTCAGGTCGGACTGATGAAGTAGTCTATCCTGTCGGGCGATCTAGAACGGCAGACACGTCCCCCGAAGCCCCTAAACCCTAAACCCTAAACCCTAAACCCTAAACCCTAAACCCTAAACCCTAAACCCTAAACCCTAAACCCTAAACCCTAAACCCTACGCCCTACACCCACGCCCCACACCCCACACCCTAAACCCTAAACCCTAAACCCCAAACCCCAAACCCTAAACCCTAAACCCTAAACCCGAAACCCTAAACCCTAAACCCTAAACCCTAAACCCTAAACCCTACACCCGACACCCTACACCCTACACCCTTACACCCTACACCCTACACCCTACACCCTACCCCCACACCCCTAAACCCTAAGCCCTAAACCCTAAACCCTACACCCTACACCCACACCCCACACCCCACACCCCACACCCCACACCCCACACCCCACACCCCACACCCCACACCCCACACCCCACACCCCACACCCCACACCCCACCCACACCCCACACCCCACACCCCACACCCCACACCCCACACCCCAGAGGCGGGCGCGTCGAGCGCCAGCGAGACCATGGCCGGCTCTGCTGAGCTGCAGAGCCTGCCAACCCGACCCTCTACTAGGCCCCCTGGAGGCTGTCCCGACTGCGGCCTTCTTTGCTGGACCAGGGGCCCTTTAACAGGTTCGGCCTGGGCCACTGCTCAAAATTGCGTTTTTGTGCTCCACACTTTTTTTGGCATCCTCCCACGCCCAGTCACTGGGAGACCCCTGGGATTCCCCTGGGAGGCCCCTAGGAGGCCCCTATAAAGTGCCCTGACCTGCAAGGATGCCCCTGGCCTCTTTGCAGGCCTGACTCTGGAAAGGTAGTGGGAGGGTCCTGGGAGGCCCGTGCCCTCAAGAATACAGGGACAAGAATACAGGGACGAAGGCTTCATTTATGTCCTTCGCAAGGTTCGCGGTGAAAAACAATGAGAAGGCCCTCCGGCCGAAGACACCCCCCAACGCAAACGCTGATTTGGCTCTCGCAAGCTTCTAGACCTTTTTAGCAAAGGGTCTTTCGCCATGCCATGCAACCTTTACGCTCCGGCATAGAGAAGAAAAAAACAATGAGAAGGCCCTCCGGCCGAAGACACCCCCCAACGCAAACGCTGATTTGGCTCTGGTAAGCTTCTAGACATGACTCTCACAAGGCCTGTTCATATCAACACCATGACACCCCGACGTCGAGAATAGAAACAATGAGAAGGCCCTCCGGCCGAAGACACCCCCCAACGCAAACGCTGATTTGGCTCTCGCAAGCTTCTAGACATGACTTTCGCAAGGCGTATTTATGGCAACAAATCTTTCGCCATGTAGCCTTGATGCGCCGACGTCCAGAATGGAACAATGAGAAAGCCCGCCCAATGCAAAACCAAATTTTCTCTCTCGAAAGCTCGACATCTAATATTTTTTCCAAGGCATCTTCTCAGATGAACCCTAAACCCTAAACCCTGCCTACGTCCTACACCCACACCCCACGCCCTAAATCCTAAACCCCAAGTCCTCCCTTGCCTCGGGCCGAAGCATTTCCGGGGTTCAGGGCTGCAAAGGGGTCAGGGTATTTTTAGGGTTTAGGGTTTGGGGTTTATGGGGTTCGGGGTTTAGGGTTTGTTGGGGTTCGGGGCGGGGTTTAGGGTTTGGGGTGAAGGTATGGTGGCACGCCAGCACACTGTCCCACAACATTTTTCAAGACAGATGGTCAGGTCTCTAAAGTCTGATCGAAAAAAAACGGAGCCTAAACTGCTGTATTGAGGGCAGTCCAGAGGGGGGTGCTTGATGAAGGTTGCCCAACAACCCTAAACCCTAAACCCTAAACCCTAAACCCTAAACCTTAAACCCTAAACCCTAAACCCTAAACCGTTCTATCTTGGGTGCGAAGGGACATTTGTTTGATGAAGCATGTCAAGAGAAGATTTCGGGGTTGCTTAAGGCATGGGCCCCAACAAAGCAGTTTCTGTTCTAGCACACCCTATCAATCAAACCACCGTATACCCGAAGCCCTGAGCCCCAAAGCCCCTAACACCTAAACCCCCAAAACTCCCAACGCCTTCCTCTACTCTAAATTTCCTGAATTCTCAACACCCCAACTCCAAATCCCACATTCCAACCGCAAACCCCAAACCCCAAACCCCAAACCCCAAACCCCAAACCCCAAACCCCAAACCCCAAACCCCAAACCCCAAACCCCAAACCCCAAACCCCAAACCCCAAACCCCAAACCCCAAGCCCCAAGCCCTAAGCCCCTAAACCCTAAACCCTAAACCCTCAACCCTCAACCCTCAACCCTCAACCCTAAACCCTAAACCCTCAACCCTAAACCCTAAACCCTAAACCCTGCACCCGAATACCCTTCCTGCGGTCCCGAGTCCCCATTGTTGTCCTCTTAGAACCCCTCCTAGCCGGCACGCAACCTTGAGACCCTAAACCCCTATTTAGGGTTTGGGGTTTAGGGTTTAAGGTTTAGGGTTTAGGGTTTAGGGTAAGCCCTTCAAGGACTCGTGCCTCAAGCGTGTGATGCAGCATCAAGCATTCGAGGGGTTCTTTGCGCTGGTGGTGGCACCTCGTCGAGAGGTTGCAGCGTTCCAAGGTCTTGGGGCGCGAGGATGTGCAGGGTTTAGGGTTTATGGTTTCGGGTTTAGGGTTTAGGGTGTAGGGTTTCGGGTTTAGGGTTCAGGGTTTAGGGTTTAGGGCTAGGGTTTAGGGTTTGGGGCCTTCCTCGGAGGTCCCTTCTGAGGGGTGAGGGTTGAGGGTTGAGGGTTGAGTAGCCCGAAATCCCCAAGCCGGTAAAGCCCTAAAAGCCCCCTGAGCTCCACCCCAGTCGCACCCGAAGTACCCACAAAACGCTTTAAAGCCCCTAAGAGTTTTGGGGTTTTGGGGTTTCGGTTTGGGGTTTAGGGTTTAGGGTTTAGGGTTTGGGGTTGAGGGAGACCCGAAACTCGAAATTCCTCAGCCCTGCGCCAAAAAGCTGCTTGCCCAAGATCAGCAACGCCATCTTCATCGGAATCGACGTGCACCAGTCCGTCTCCATCGAGGGCCCGCGACCCGTGAGCTTCCAGGCCTTTCCTGGGGTCCATTCTAGGGTTTGGGGTTTGGGTTTAGGGTTTAGGGTTGCGAGGAAGCCTTTGAACTGCTCCGATATGGTTTCTTTTGTAAGGGGGGGGGGATGGGGGGGGGGGGGCGAGGGTGAGGGGCCGGTTCATGGGATGCCTTTTGTAAAATGGGGGGGAGGGGATCTTATATCGCTTCAGAAGAATGCTGCAAGGATCCTTTTTTCTACTCTCTCGAGCGGGCTTTGTAAGATCTGTGTTGGGAGTTGTTCCACAGACCTGTTTAGGGTGCCTAGCGGTGCTGGGCGTAACCCTCTCTAGACCCCCCAAACCCAGAGAATTCTACCTCACCGGGGTTCAGAGGGGACCCCGCAAACAAGCCCTCAACTCCGCCCAACACCGCTTCCCCTCCCACAAAACAGGTCGTCCAGTACACGTACACCGTCCTTTTCTGCATGGAGCTTATTGTTCGAGTGGCGGCTCTCAAGTGGCAGCTCGTCACGGGATCTGGCGACGTTGGCCCTCCCTAAACCCTAAACCCTAAACCCTAAACCCTAAACCCTAAACCCTAAACCCTAAACCCTAAACCCTATACCCTATACCCTAGACCCTGAAGCCCAAAGCACCCGAAGCCCTAAATGGCAGGAGCGCCCTTCACAGCACATTGCAGGTCCAGATCTGGGCACGTAGGGTTTAGGGTTTAGGGTTTAGGGTTTAGGGTTTAGGGTTTAGGGTATAGGGACGGGTTTCCCCGAGTTAGGGACTTGGGACAGCGGAAACTCCGCGCGCCTCCCGAGTGTTTGAGGGTTTAGGGTTAGGGTTTAGGGTTTTGGGGTTTGGGGTTTAGGGTTTAGGGTTTAGGGTTTAGGGTTTAGGGACCCCGAAACCCGAGAACTCAGAACCACGCCATGCTGTTCCAGGTAGGGGCATTTCTTAGAAGCTTTGGCATCCTTCCAGTCATTATCTTTCTTTTACGTGTCGCCTTTCCACCAACCCTCAAGCCCCTAGCCTCAAGCCTCAAGCCTCAAGCCTCAAGCCTCAAGCCTCAAGCCTCAAGCCTCAAGCCTCAAGCCTCAAGCCTCAAGCCTCAAGCCTCAAGCCTCAAGCCTCAAGCCTCAAGCCTCAAGCCTCAAGCCTCAAGCCTCAACCCTAAACCCTAAACCCTAAACCCTAAACCCTAAACCCTAAACCCTAAACCCTGAACCCTAAACCCTGAACCCTAAACCCTAGTAGGATACGTTCTTTGCCTTGTGGTCACCATGCATGGGGAGAGGAGCTGGGGGGTTCCCAGCCAAGCCCAGGCAAACAAATAGAGCTTAGGGCACAGGGTGTAGGGTTTAGGGTTTAGGGTTTAGGGTTTAGGGTTTAGGGTTTAGGGTGTAGGGTTTAGGGTGTAGGGAATACCTTGTGACCGAAGAGAATTTTGGACCCGCCCTAAGGAGTTTCTTTTGGTCGGATGACTGGATGTGGACCCTAAACCCTAAACCCTAAACCCTAAACCCTAAACCCTAAACCCTAAACCCTCAACCCTAAACCCTAAACCCTAAACCCTAAACCCTACACCCTAAACCCTAAACCCTAAACCCCAAACCCCAAACCCTAAACCCTAAACCCTAAACCCTAAACCCTAAACCCCCAAGGAGGTTCTTTTGGTCGGATGACTGGATGTGGAGCCTGCTGGATGTCTTCATCGTCGTGACCTCCCTGTGGGAGGCGGCCGTCGACATCATTTCGCTCGTTCAGCAGGGGCCGCTGTGCTGAACAGCCTTTTTTGAACCCTAAACCCTAAACCCTAAACCCTAAACCCTAAACCCTAAACCCTAAACCCTAAACCCTAAACCCTAAACCCTAAACCCTAAATCCCAAACCCTAGACCCTATATAAACTCTAAACCCTAAACCCTCAACCCTAAACCCTGACCCCTAAGCCCCTAAACCTAAACCCTAAACGCTGCATCCCACGTGGCCAGCCCGGCAGGATCCGCACAGGCCCCAAGCAAGCGGTGGGAGACGACTTGTTCAGGGCGGTAGTGGTTGACGAATGATTTATTACAAAGGGTTTAGGGTTTGGGGTTTAGGATTTAGGGTGTAGGGTTTACGGTTTAGGGTTTGGGGTTTAGGATTTAGGTTCTAGGGGTTAGGGCTCATCGACACCAGGAGAAAGCCAGGGCGTCCTGCTTCATAAGCTCAACGTCGCAGGCTCAACAGGGCTTCAAAACGATTTGAACCCAAGCTCCACTTCTCTGTGTAGTGGTCTCTCATCAAGCACTCCCCCTGCCCTCAGCCTCTTTTGAGAGACTCAAGGCCCGGCAGGGTTTTAGGGGGCTGTAACGTAGAGGGCCGGTTACAGTAGCACGGACGGCGGGGGGAGAGGGATGAGAGCTTGGAGGGTTTGAGCGCTCTGGATCAGGTTTTTGGGTTTAGGGAATTAGTATTAGGGTTCCCTAAACCTTATCAACACCAAAGGTGAAACTAGGGAGTGTGCCATCGTGGTAAATCCTCGCAGCTGAGGAACGGTGGCCTTGACACAATTTCCGGCCTGACCAACATGAAGCCAGGCTTTGTCAGAAGAGTTTCAGGCCACGGGGCCCCCCTAAACCCTAAACCCTAAACCCTAAACCCTAAACCCTAAACCCTAAACCCTAAACCCTAAACCCTAAACCCCAAACCCTAGACCCTAAACCCTAAGCCCTAAACCCTAAACCCTAAACCCTAAACCCTACACCCTAAACCCTAAACCCTAAACCCTAAACCCTAAACCCTAAACCCTAAGCCCCAAACCCCAAGCCCTAAACCCTAAATCCTAAACCCCCAAAAGCGCGCACGCCCTCCTACCTTGGCCTCGAAGCCGCGCGCTTGCCGCAACCGCTCTCTTCTCTATTCAAGCCTGAAACCCTAAGAACCTAAGGGCTTGGGGTTAAGGGTTTGGGGTTTGGGGTTTGGGGTTTGGGGTTTAGGATGTAGGGGTTGGGGCTTCAGGTTTAATTAGGGTTTAGGGTTTGGGGTTTGGGTTCAGGGTTTGGGGTCTTCCCTGCCTGAAACCCTAAGGGTGCAAGCCATGCGAGCACATGGCTGAACCTGCGGTCGTCAAGCCAAGGACTTGGGGTTAGGGCTTCAGGGTTCAGGGTTCAGGGTTCAGGGTTTAGGGTTTAGGGTTTAGGGTTTAGGGTTTAGGCTGAGGTTTTGGAGCCACCAAACAGGCCCAAACACTAAGCGGTGCCTTCCTTGCGAAACTATCGTTTTCGTGCGCCCGAAGTGACGAGAATTAGGTAGGCCTTTTGGGACATTCTATACGTCCCCTTATTGGGTTTCAGAGGTTCATATTTAGGAATATCTTTCAGAGGGTCTTCAGGGCTACTCTAGAGAATGAATCGTGCGAGGAGCTTGAGTAACTTCACAGAATGGGGAGCATGCCGCCCTGAACCCTAAACCCTAAACCCTAAACCCTAAACCCTAAACCCTAAACCCTAAACCCTAATCCCTAATCCCTAATCCCTAATCCCTAATCCCTAAACCCTAAACCCTAAACCCTAAACCCTAAACCCTAAACCCCGTTTTCGAGCAAGGCCCACCCTGGACCGTGAGACTCAAACCGCTGCAGAAGCCCTGTAGCGATGTGCCCCAGGTAACCTTTCCGGTGGCCACGGAAGTCAAATCCCCTAAGCCCCCAACCCCTAAACCCTAAACCCTAAACCCTCAACCCTCAACCCTCAACCCTCAACCCTCAACCCTCAACCCTCAACCCTAAACCCGAAACCCTTTCTGCCCAAGGAAGTCCTTCAGAATCATCCGCCTCACCCGACTGCTCAAGACGGTGCAGTTTGTGCGGATCTTCCGCTTCGTGATGGCGCTGCGGATGCTCGTGACCCCCGGCAGAGGGACTGAAGGGGTGCCGTTTAGGGTGGAGGGTTTAGGGTTTAGGGTTTAGGGTTTAGGGTTTAGGGTTTAGGTTTCGAAGTTCGAAGGGTCCAAACTCCAGAGTCTTAGGGCTTTTCAGAGGGTTAGGGTTTAGAGTTTATGGACAAGGGTTTGCGGATTTGTTAGGGCTTAGGGTTTTGGGGTTGGGGGCCTCAGGGGTTTTGCGGTCTGGGATGTCGGGTTTTGGGGTTCTCGGGCTTTTGGGTGTTTTGCTTCTGGGGCAGGGCCTCAGAGCTTCAGAGTTTAGAGTTTGATGGCGCTAGGGTTCAGAGTTTTGTAGGTTGGGTCTTTCAGGGACTTTCGTTGGGGTATAGGGTTTAGGCTTTTCCCCAAACCGTAAACCCTAAACCCTAAATACAGCCTAAGCCCTGAACGGGTTCGGGGTCAACTAGGGTTTAGGATTGGTTGGTGTTGAGAGGCCGGCGACTCTAAACCCTAAACCCTACACCCTAAACCCTAAACCCTAACCCCTAAACCCTAAGCCCCAAGCCCCAAACCCTAAACCCTAAACCCTAAACCCTAAACCCTAAACCAGCTCAGGACTTCCATCATCTCCACTCTGAAGGCCCTCTTCTGGGCTCTGATCCTCCTGGGCCTTATCGTCTATGCCGCGCGGCGGGTTAGGGTATAGGGCTTCGGTTTTAGGGTTTAGGGTTTAGGGTTTGGGGTTTAGGGTTTAGGGTTTAGGGTTTGGGGTTTAGGGTTTACGTTTTAGGGTTTAGGGTTTAGGGCTCAGGGTGGGTCTCGGGCGTTTGGTATCAGGGTATTAGGGAGATTTGTTGGGCGCAGCTGGGCCCCTCCCTTAAGAGCCCTCCCCTGCACTCATGCACAGATCTTAGGGGGCATCGGATCCCCCACACAAACTATATGTATATATATATATGTACACATATTATTCATATATATATATATATATACATAATTATATATATATATATATATATACGTATGTATGTATATCTCTACATATTGTTTAGTGTTTGGGGTTTGGGGTTATTATATGTTAGGGGTACTAGTGCCTTGTTTGTGTGCGGGGGGTTAGTTACAGGATACCTTGATGAACCCTAAGCCCTCTACCCTAAATCCCTCAACCCCTAAACCCTCAGCCCCATAACCCTCAAGCTCGACTTTTGAGCATGGCCCGGTGGTGAATGTGCATCCTGGGCACCCTGAACCCTAAACCCCGAAACGAAGCCTAAGCCCGAAGCCCGAGCCGCCAAAGCCGAAACCCTAAACCCTAGGACGCAGCAGACCGTCACCCATGAGCCCCGGAAATCCAAACCCTAAACGATCAACTGGAACAATGAGCCTCGGGATGTTCCCCCTTATACAAGCAGTCCTTCCTAGGGATTCGAATAGGGGGGTAGTGGAAACTACAATCCTATTCAGGACTGCTAGTACAAGGGGGAAGGTCCCAACCTGAGCCTTAAACCTCAACATTAGTACCGGCGAAGACCCCAAACAGCATAGACCTATGCAAATGTGGGAGGGCACGGTCCGTGGGCCCAGCTCCCGAGCCGAATATACCACCGAGCCAAGCCACTCATCCAACCCGGTGCGTTCCCTTAAAATTCTGAGGAGGGGACCCCAAACGCTGCTGTTTGGGGCAGAATCTTCCCTTCTGCTCTGGGCTCTGTGCTGTGTTGGGTTCAGGGTTCAGGGTTGATTCTGAGCAAGGCGGTTGTTGGGGGTGTAGGGCCCCGGAACCCAAATTCCCACCTCGACTGCTTGGCTTGCTGACGCAGCAGGGAGGTTACACACTGAAGACACCCGTCAGCCGTTTCAAGCGGCTGGACAGGAAGTTTGAAAGCCCCCAGCTACCAACCAGTTTGCGCGGGCGGCGTCGCAGTGGGTTGTTTAGGGCTTAGGTTTAATGGGTTTAGGGTTTCGGATGCAGGGTGGGAGGAAACAGACCCTCCCGGCTTCAACGGCTTCTTCACAACATCAGCGGAGGGCCAGTCAGTGCTGCCACCCACCCGTGAGATGTTGGGATCTTCTGCAGCTGTGGCGTTGCACATCAGATCGAGCCCCTCCCCCCCTCCCCTCCAAATCCAGGCGTCCTGCCTTCCCTCTTCCGCCGGTTCAGGGTTCCTCCTGGCGCGAAGCCCCTTTACAATTGATTGCTTGCTTCAGGCTTGTGCGAGCAGCTGGTGCGCACAGCTCTGCTATTCCAGTCTCCCGTGGTCCACACTTCGCGCCGGCCGGTGTTGCTTTCTGGGCAGCTGTTCTCTGCAGTTGCGGAAGGTTTCGTCTGCTCCGTCCACTTTCGGCGTCTTCCAAGCTCTACATCTTTTGAACCCGAAACCCCGAAACCCTAAACCCGAAGCCCTAAACCCCAAAAGCTTCCCTCGGCCGAATCGCGCGGCCGAGGTGTTCGCTGTGCTCTTTACCCAAGCTGTTTACGATTACAACAATGACAACAACGTCACGGCGATCGCTGCGGAAGACTGGGCTTCAAAGGACTCGGGCAGTATGGGGTAGAGGGTTCAGGGTTTTTTGTGGGGTGCAGAGTGTAGGGTTGATGGTATAGGCTTTAAGGTACAAGGATAGTGTTCAGGCTTTGAACAGTTTTTGGAGATACGTGTTCGGTTTCACTTGTGGTTGCATTCTGTGTACATATGTATATATGTATATACGTACACAAATATATGTATGTATATGTATACATATATATATATATATATATATATATGCATATATATATATACATATACATATATATATATATATATATGTAGATGTATGTGTATATGTGTATGTACATGTATATGTATTCATTTATTTACCTATGTGGCAGATTTTTTGCATCCATGCTGACTTGGGTGCCGTTTAGACAGTCTCCCAGGGCTAAGGACAACAACACCCTAAGCCATAAACAACCTAAATACCCTAAACCGTAAACCCTAAAAAAACTAAACCCTAAAAACCCAAAACCCTGAACCCTAAGCCCTAAACCCTAAACCCAAAACGCCCCCAAAAACTCTGAACCCTACACCCCATACCCCGAAAATCCTAATTCCACACCCCGGGCTGGCTGCTCTTGAAGCCCCGACCCCAAAGCCCGAGGCCCGAAACCCGAAGCCCTAAGCCCTAAGCCCTAAACCCCTAACCCCTAACCCCTAAACCCTAAACCCTCAACCCTAAACCCTAAACCCTCAACCCTAAACCCTAAACCCTAAACCCCCCACCCCCGTCCCCTGCCCTTGGAAAGGATGTCCAAGACTACTACGCCGCCAGTTTTCGCTACTGGGGCTCGTTGGCGAAAAGCATGCTCAGCCTCTTCATGAGCGCTTCGGCCGCAAGGGCTGAGGGTGTAAGAGGTTCAGTTTACTCCACCCAAGAACCCCCCCACCTACGCCCTAAACCCTAAACCCTAAACCCTAAACCCTAAACCCTAAACCCTAAACCCTAAACCCTAAACCCTAAACCCTAAACCCTAAACCCTAAACCCTAAACCCTAACCTAAACCCTAAACCCTAAACCCTAAACCCTAAACCCTAAACCCTAAACCCTAAACCCTAAACCCTAAACCCTAAACCCTAAACCCTAAACCCTAAACCCTAAACCCTAAACCCTAAACCCTAAACCCTAAACCCTAAACCCTAAACCCTAAACCCTAAACCCTAAACCCTAAACCCTAAACCCTAAACCCTAAATCCAACACCCTAATCCCTGAACCCTTCAAAATGATCAGAACCCTTACAGAAATCATATGGATTGCCTCGCTCGAAAGAGCCGTCCTCGTCTTCTCGTCGGTCTAAGCAGGCAGGTGTTGTTGGGAAGGTCAAGCGCGTGCGTGCGTGCTTGTGTGTGCGTGGGCTCGCGCAAATGCCAGGCACAGAAACATTAGACAAAGTGCGCAAACGGCCGCTTCTTAGACATTTCATGGGGTTTAAGTGCGGGAGGCATTGGGGTTGAGGGGCGGTGGATGCCAAGTTCAAGTATTGTGGCAACTACTACAACCGGCAGTCGCAGGACACAGAGTTGTGCCGCATTTGCGTCGTGGTCCCAGTGTTTCGTCGTTGTTTTTTTTGTGATGCGTTCTTGTTTCACGTTTGCAGACGTTTTGGTCAGGGCAACGCCCGCAAGGCTGGCAGCGTGTGGGAAGGGGGGAAGGGGGGAA